TCCTGAGAAAAAAAAAACCCTTTGGCAGAAGCAAGAAGATATGAAGGTCACATTCCAGTTCAAAGGTGACTAATTGGTTTTTACTGTTAACACTGCTTTGGAGACAAATCTGATTTCAAGAAAGCTTTTGCTACACATTTCTTTTACTAACCAACCATCTGGAAATTTGCCACATTGTACAAATGTTCACCTTTAGGTCAAGGAGAACAATGCAAATAAACTTCCAACAAGAAGGAGTAGGAGCTTTTAATGTGAAGGATCACAACCTACATTAAATTCCATGATTTTAACAAGCTAGCAGATCTTTACAGTAATCTTATTTTAAAGTTAAGAAACTTAAGAGAATTATAACATTTTGAAGTTTTTTTCCCCATGTGCACATAACTGCCAATATGTTATGCAAACAGAATATATATGTATTGTTGAAGGCTTTCATGGCTGGACTCACTGGGTTGTTGTAGGTTTTTTGCGCTACATGGCCATGTTCTAGAGCAGGGGTCCTCAAACTAAGGCCTGGGGGCCGGATACGGCCCACCAAGGTCATTTACCCTGCCCTCGCTCAAGGTCAACCTAAGTCTGAAACGACTTGAAAGCACACAACAACAACAACAACCCTATCTCATTAGCCAAAAGCAGGCCCACACTTCCCATTTAAATACTAATAAGTTTATATTTGTTAAAACTAGCCGTCCCCTGCCACGCGTTGCTGTGGCTCAGTGATCTGGAAAATAAAGTAATGAGAAAGTGTTGGTTTCTAATATGTGCAATGCTTTTATGCTTGTGGGTAAACAGTATTTCTTGTTGTTTCTTTGTCAGTGTTGATGTGGAGATTGTCTAGTTTGCCTACTCTGGAACATGCAACATATAAGTGTCCTTCTTTAGGGGTTCCCTTCAAAACTATGATACTATATCTGTGTGTGTGTGGATCATATATATCTCTCTCTTTATCTATGGCTAGATAGCTCTTTGTCAGGAGGGGTTTGATTATGTTTTCTTGCCCTGGTGAAGGGATTTGGACTGGATGGCCTTAAACATTTTCTGTTGGTGATGGAAGAGGGAGGGGTTCTGTGTGGGAGGTTTGCCCCAATTCTGTCATTGGTGGGATTCAGCATGCTCTTTGTAGGTGAACTATAAATCCCAGTAACTACAACTCTCAAATGTCAAGGTCTATTTCCTCCAAACTCCATCTGTGTTCATATTTGGGCATATGGAATACTCGTACCAAGTTTGGTCCAGATCCATTATTGTTTGACTCCACAGTGCTCTCTGGATGTAGGTGAATTACAACTCCCAAACTCAAGATCAATGCCCACCAACCTTTCTAGTGCTTTCTGTTGGTCATGGGAGTCCTGTGTCCCACATCATTGGTGGAGTTCAGAATGCTCTTTGATTATAAGTAAACTATAAATCCTAGCAACTACAACTCTCAAATGACAAAATATTTTTTTTGAATGATGGTCACTCCTTGGGTTAGTAGCTGTCTTGTGGCCAAATTTGGCAGCAATTCGTCCAGTGGTTTTTGAGTTCTGTTCATCCCACAAACGAACATTACATTTTTATTTATATAGATTGTTCTTCATTTTAATTATTGCATTGTTTTTAAGTGTCTTTTTGCACTCCAAATAAGATATGTGCAGTGTGCATAGCAATTCACTCATGGTTTTTTCAAATTATAATCTGGCCCTCCAACAGTTTGAGGGACTGCGACCTGGCCCTCTGTTTAAAAAGTTTGAGGACCCCTGTTCTAGAGGCATTCTCTCCTGACGTTTCGCCTGCATCTATGGCAAGCATCTTCAGAGGTGTTGCCATAAATGTAGGCAAAACTTCAGGAGAGAATGCCTCTAGAACATGGCCATATAGCCCGAAAAAACCTACAACAACCCAGAATAGACATGGATTCTGAATGATATAAAATAAGAAAAATCATTTCAATTCCTCAAGAGACAACTGTCCTTAACTTAGGAAACTGCGTCTTTCAAGTCAATGTTGCTTTAAACCAACTGCTGGGCTATTTGCAAATGAAATACCCAAACGCGCCTTTCTGTAAGATGCTGTATTGTAGCCTAATTTTCTACAGGTCACTTGATGACAGATCTGGGACTTTCTGAGTATTTTGCTACAACACAGCCAGCTCCTAGTGTTTGATGCAGGTGTCAAACTTGAGAAAAACCCTCTTCACTTGTGAGACATCCCTTTCTTTCAAAAATAGAAGACTGGGTGACTTGGAAGGCACTGAACAGACTGTGCTCTGGCACCATGAGACGCAGAGCCAATCTTAAGAAATGGGGCTACAAGGTTGAATCCATGACATGCGAGTGCGGAGAAGAGCAAACCACAAACCACCTGCTTCAATGCAACCTGAGCCCTGCTACATGCACAATGGAGGACCAGAGGCACTCCAAGTGGCCAGATACTGGTCAAAGGACATTTAAACTACCAAGTTTGCAAAATTTGTGCTTTTTTTATCTGTTTGTTTGTTTTGTTCTGTTAGAAATGTAATACAATGGTCTGGTTGCTGATGACACGATAAATAAATAAATAAATAAATAATAATATAACAAACTTTATTTATACCCCACCACCAGCTCCCCAATGGGGACTCGGGGTGGCTTACATGAGGCCAAGCCCTACAACACAATACAATAAAAGAAGTAAAAAAACACAAGCAATAGCATAATAAATTACATAAAACATAAAAATACAGAAAACAATATAAAATTAAAATAAAATCATTCATAACACAGTAGCAATGAGCGGGCCGCATGTACAGAATAAAATACTAAAACTAAGAGCTAAGAACATGGGGTGAGATAGGGATGGAGCAGATTATTTGTGAGTGGGGTCGAGAAGGATCTTCATACAGGAAAGGAGGAGGTGTACTCTAAGGACAAATGTTGGGGAGTAGCAGCAATATAAAATTGTATGGTTAATTGCTTTAGTCACCTCCAGATTGGACTACTGTAATGCGCTCTATGTGGGGCTGCCCTTGAAAACGGCCCGGAAATTCCAACTGATCCAACGGGCGGCACCCAGGTTGTTAACTGGTACTCCTTACAGAGAGAGGTCAACCCTCCTGTTTAAGGAGCTCCATTGGCTGCCATTCATTTTCCGGTCCCAATTCAAGAAGCAGGTGCTTACCTACAAAGCCCTAAATAGTTTGGGTCCCGCCTACCTGCGTGACTGCATCTCCGTATATGAACCCACACGATCTCTCCAATCATCTGGAGAGACCCTGCTCACGATCCAACCTGCGTCGCAAGCGCGATTGGTGGGGACGAGGGACAGGGCCTTCTCTGTGGTGACTCCCCGACTCTGGAACTCTCTCCCCAAGGACATCAGACAAGCCCCAACATTGGCAGTCTTTAGGAAGAGCTTGAAGACGTGGTTGTTCCAGTGTGCCTTCCCAGAATAGGAAACTCCTAGCATCATGTCCCAAATGCACTTTACTAGAGATTTAAGATTGTCTGCACACTGCACCTATCTCCAAAAACCTATCCATTTCACCTGTCATGCCCAGCATTTTTTAAAAATTTTAATCATTACATTTGGCCCGGCCTTAGTTTTAAATGTGTCTAATGTTTATTGCTATTGTTTTAAAGTTTATTGCTTGTTTTATGAGTTTATTTATTGTTGTATTTGTTATGCTGTTGTTTTATTGATGTGCTGGGCCTCGGCCTCTTGTAAGCCGCACAGCTTAATGGTGTAACATTAGAAAATGTTGACCATTTCCACTACCTTGGCAGCCACTTCTCCACCAAAGTCAACATCGACACCGAAATACAACACTGCCTGAGCTCTGCGAGTGCAGCATTTTCCCGAATGAAGCAGAGAGTGTTTGAGGACCGGGACATCCATAGGGATACCAAGGTGCTTGTTTATAAAGCTATTGTCCTCCCAACCCTGCTATATGCCTGCGAAACGTGGACTGTCTACAGACATCACATGCAACTCCTGGAACGATTCCATCAGTGCTGCCTCCGGAAAATCCTGCAAATCTCCTGGGAAGACAAGCGGACAAACGTCAGCGTGCTGGAAGAAGCAAAGACCACCAGCATTGAAGCGATGGTCCTCTGCCATCAACTCCGCTGGGCAGGCCACGTTGTCCTGATGCCTGGCCACCGCCTCCCAAAGCAGTTGCTCTACTCTGAACTTAAGAACGGAAAACTGAATGTTGGTGGACAGGAAAAGAGATTTAAAGATGGCCTCAAAGCAAACCTTAAAATCTCTGGCATAGACACTGAGAACTGGGAAGCCCTGGCCCTTGAGCGCTCCAGCTGGAGGTCAGCTATGACCAGCAGTGCTACAGAATTCGAGGAGGCACGAGTGGAGGGCGAAAGAGAGAAACGTGCCAGGAGGAAGGCGCGTCAAGCCAACCCTGACCAGGACCGCCTTCCACCTGGAAACCAATGCCCTCACTGTGGGAGAAGATGCGAGTCAAGAATAGGGCTCCACAGCCACCTACGAACCCAAAAGGAAACGCATAATGGAAGACCATCTTACTCGTCCAACGAGGGATCGCCTAAGTAAGTAAGCCGCACCAAGTCCTTCGGGAGATGTTAGCGGGGTATAAATAAAGGATTATTATTATTATTATTATTATTATTATTATTATTATTATTACCAAAAGCGCAACGGAAGAGCCATGTTTTGAGATTCTTCTTAAAACTTTCTAAAGTGCGGGCTCGCCTAATCTTAAAAAACAATAACATGTTCCATTCGTTATTTCAAGAGGTCAAAAATGGCTCCCATTTTCCTAAGTTGTGTGCTTCAAATAACAAGGAAACCACACTAAAAAACCTGGAGTTACCATTACATTACTTTTTTTTAGTAGTAGTAGCAATGACATTACAGGAAAAAGTAACAGTTTGCAGGTAGCATTGTTAAATGTAATGCATATTTTTGAATTCCTGCTAGAAAATGGCCACTATAATTACGGCCGCATTTTTTGTGATATTGCTGAGTTTCATTCTACACAAAATGAAAGTAAGACTCTGACTTACCTGTCTCCATCTTGCCATCCTGTGCAGCAGGTCCATCGGGAATAACACTCTTCACCTGGAGAAACTCGTCAGGCTCATCCCCACCAATGATGGTAAATCCAAAGCCCATATTGCTTTTCTTAAGAGTGGTGCTGAGGAAAGTTCCCTTCAGTTGTGAGGCATCCCGGGTGAAAAGTGGTTTTTCTACATCAGTCAACATAAAGGAGACAAACAAACAAACAACGTTTGGGTCCTGCTGTAAAAAGATTAATAAATGAAAACCACTGGCTTCCCAAAGTGCAATAGAAGCAAATAGCAGGCAACAGGGTTGCGTTTGGGAAAAAAATAAAAGCAAAATAAAAGTGCAAGCGTTCCCAGAAAAACATAAGCATTAGTGAGTTATCCACGACTTAAGGCCAAAACCAGCAAGAGAAAGATTTGTTTATCTATGGTGTTATTGATTATAGTGTATCTTAATAAAATCACTACTGATTATGAGTTGGATTGCTTGTCCAAAACTGTCCAAAAATTGATTTGTAGTACTTAACTTGATATGTATTAGTTAATTAATGAAATCCTTTGGAATTTTTTTTGTTAACGTTGCTTTGTAGAAATAGCTAAATAGCTGTTTAATACAGGTTGAGTATTCTTTAACGCTTCCTGAAATGCTAGAAACTGGAGGTGTTTTGGACCAGATTTTCCCCCCAGGTTTTGGAATACCGTATTTGTACGAGGACTATTTTTTAAGTAAGGTCCGTTTTGTTGTAGACACTAGTAGTTTGGGCGCATACTGCATCGAGCGCATGTGTCGTGTACCGGCATGCCTCGGGAACAACTGTGCTCAGTTTCCACTCTGTAGCTAACCTGTACGGTTCTGTTCTGTGCTTTAAAAATGTTTAAGACTATCAACTCACCTGCCGCATGTGAGTTTTTTGTCAGCAAGGAACCTGCCTGCTGCAGAAATCCATCGACAGATTTGTGAAGTGTACGGTGATATTGTTATGAGTGAAAGCAAAGTGCGTAAGTGGGTACGACAATTCAAAGATGGCCATGACAACGTCCATGATGAGGACCGCTCAGGTTCCTTGCTGACAAAAACCGTATCACATGCGGCAGGTGAGTTGATAGTCTTGAACATTTTTAAAGCACAGAACAGAACCGTACAGGTTAGCTACAGAGCGGAAACTGAGCACAGTTGTTCCCGAGGCATGCTGGTACACGACGCACATGCTCGTTGTGGTATGCGTGCGAACTACTAGTGTCTACAACAAAACGGACCTTACTTAAAAAATACCTCTCGTATTTAAGTAAGTAATGAGATATCTTGGAAATGCCTAATCACAAGTCTGTATGTTGAAACATCAGAAAGCAAAGTCTGTATATTGAAACATCAGAAAGCCTTTTTCATCCAACCATGTGGACAATTAAGGATTTTGGAGTATTTCAGAATTTGCAATTCTAGATAAGAAATGCTCAACCTGTAGCGGTTTAATTACTAAAAATACTAAATAGCTGTATAATTTAGTTTTCCTGCAGCCACATACAAAGCGTGTCTGTGTATCTGTCCAATTTCAACAACCGGGAATTTCAACAACTGGGATGTACAACTTGTGAGATGATTCAGTGATGTTCACATCAATTTTAAGTGTGATTTTTTTTTTGTGAAGTGCGACAAAGACCAGCAGGCAAACGAAAGGCCTCATCTCACATCCAGTGCCTCTTTTTTGTGCTTTATTGTGTGAGAAAGGTATGGGAAAAGGTGAAAAGTTTGGTGTTGTTTTTTTTGTAAAAAAATAGCTCACTACTTTTTACAAAAGTGCAGCCTGGGTACATAGCAGCACTTGGACATACCATACAGCCTGTACACTCCAGCAATGTCCCGCCGACACTGAGACAGGTCACTCACACTGCGAGACCTCTGAGGACCAGGGCGCGGGTGAACATGTTTGGGCCTAGGTAATGTTGATGAGGAGCTTTCTACTGTTATAAAGGAGAAGAAGCCTCATTCTTTGCCTGCAAGCTCACGTAAATAATTTAATCTCTATATCCAATATAGATTATCCATTTTTACCCGCCCCCCACTTCCATCAGCTTCTTTGTTACAAATATAATCTCAGTTTCCCACCAAACAGGACGATGAGCCATTATTCTCGAAACTGCCTTAAGGAAGTAGAAGCAGTTTCAATGGGATGTAGGTTCCTCTACCACAAGGGTAGATATCCTGGTGCCCTTTAGAAGCAGTGAACTACAACTCATATACCTGAGGCAGTATGGCCAGTCACCAGAGACTTTGCAACTGGATGCCAACCAACTAAAGGACAGCTACCCCTTCTCTAACCACAAACAGCCCAAGATGAAGCCATACATTTAGATGAAATATAGTGACATGAAATGCTTGAATGCAATTAATGTGTTCCTTTTAAAATATCAGCTGGGAACAGGGTTTGGCAGGAACATGGTATATCAGAAAAAAGGTTTGCCCTTTCCCTCTCATGCTGCAATCCTGCTGAAAACCTCCTCTAGAACCTGTCATGAGAGCAGGGGAAGAGACAGGAATATGTGTCTCAGCTCAAATAAAATGGATAGTCCTGGCAAGAATCCTCCTGGGTAGTTAATGCTTCTGGTACTGTCAGATCAGTGAACAGAAAAACCAACTATCATTCACAACTTAATCTTGGATTAGTAGGTTGTAGGGAAGATTTACACTGACCACATCACAAAGGGTGGTCAAATAGTGCACACAGCTGATCCAGGTTAATGCCACCTTAATGCAGCCTTGAACTGTATTAACAAAAGTACCGTATATTCCGGCATATAAGACGACTGGGAGTATAAGACGACCCCCAACTTTTCCAGTTAAAATATAGAGTTAAGACGACTCCCATGCATAAGACTACACCCGCATATAAGACGACCCCTGACTGTTGAGAAGATTTTCTTGAGTTAAAAAGTAGTCTTATACGCCAGAATATACTGTCATCAGCGGAAGTACTTCATCAGTGTCGCAGATGGACGATGAAAGCGACAGCTCCCCTGGCGGCCAGAAAAAGTTAAATAGCCTCTGTGTATGTCTGTATACGTTGTATGTCAAATTGGCATTGAATGTTTGCCATATATTTGTACACTGTAAATGAAAACCACTGGCTTCCCAAAGTGATATATTTGAGCCCCCTGCGGGGTGAGAAGGGTGGAATATAAATACTGTAAATAAATAAAAGTTGCCAGTTGCTCTGAATTATCCCCCGTAATCTACAGTAAACAGCAAATTTTGTCCCATGTAAACAGTAGGCCAGGTTCTGAGTCGGAATTGGCCACAGTTGACATGCTCATTGTGTGTTCCCCAGGCTTGTCCCTGCTGGCTACTGTGACAAGGAGAAGAGGAACGTGTTACGAGTGGCTGTATTGCAGTGCCGAACCAAGTTCTGCACTGCTGGATGTTTAGGTCTCCTTTTGCCTCTGCAGTGGCCAGGAGGAGGAGGAGGTGATCCAAACCATCCTGGCACCAATACAGCATTTGCTATTCCAGGTCAGCACTAGTAAAAGAGATCAGTGTAGATAGAGTAGTGGCTGGATGATTGTGGTGGCTTAATCTCTTTCAGTTTTGTCACCAGGGCCGTAGCCAGAAAAAAATTTCCAGGGTCATAGCCAGAAAATTTTTTTGGGAGGGGTTGAAAATTTCAGGGGGGGTTTGAAAATTTCAGGGGGGGTTGAAACCTGCCTCCTAGCTCACGCTGAAGCAAAGAGCACAGCAGGGCGCAGAGCAGCCTTCAATAGCCTGCAGCTCCGCCCCTGTCAACCACCTCCACCAAGTCTGGCCTCCTTAATGAGAGCATTCAACACTCCCCCCCACACTTGGTTGCTTCGCTACATTGGCTATTGCTGCAAGTAATGACAGTGTGAATAAATTGTCAATATTTGCTTGAGATAGTGCTTGCAGTTCTGGAGGGACTCTTAATTTTTTGTATCTCATAGACTTAGCATGGGGATTTGGTTAACCAGTTAAAATTCATGAGTAAACCAGGTTTTTTTAAAAAATCTGAAACATTTCGGGGGGGGGGTTGAACCCCTAAACCCCCCCCCCCTACAGGCCTGTTTGTCTTAGTACCTCCTCACAGGCTCAGAAACCTCTGTGGCAGAGAGGTTCCCTCTTTGCTATCCTTCCAGAAAATAGTAAATGTAATTTTGCCACAGTACCATCACTCCATCCAGCTGCAAACAGAAAAGACAAAAGGAAGACACATCTGATGCATTCGAGCATTCAATATCATATCTGTTTTGATTCTACAACTGAAGCAAGAGTCAAAGTATCTTCATCAACATCTGTCTTTTGCACTCTGTGTCATGAGAATACAGAGGATCAACGAGTCACCCTTTGATTTTTATTGGGTTCTTGAATTTTTGGGAAGGTCTTTCCCTTTGGGGAAATAAAAACTTTCTATTGTCTCATTTTTGTAACCTTAATATTACTATTTTCTTTCTTCTTGTTTTCACGCTGAAGACTACATCATATCTGTTACCCATTTTTGCCTCTGCTTCATTTTATTTAGCCCTAAAAACATAGGATTTTGTTTTCAAGACAGAATTTCAGCATGTCCCCTTTGCTAGAAGCTTCTGGTTCGATTTAACACAAATTTGCAATGTCAAAACTATGAGCTGAACCCAATCAACAAAGATAAGCTTTGTCTTCAAATTTGTTAGCTGAAAACAGAAATGAAGCCTATATTTTCATGTTCATATCTTAATTTCCCCCCTATAAAATAATAGAAAACTTAATGGAATTATTTTAATTGTAGGATATGGCACACTGATGTGATACTGTACCTCGGAAACCTTGGGCCGGCATAGGCTTGGTTCCAAGTTCTGCGTTGGGCATGGTACGCTGTTGTAGCTTTCTTTTTGCTTCCAAAACAGGATTTTCAAATTGTGTCCTTCTATTTATGTGGCTGAAAAATAGAGAAATAAGATGTCACTTAATGATGATCATTTTGAGACCCGTTTCCCCCCCCCTTTTTGAATAAAGATTATTGATAGGTTGCTATCACACAAACAAATCTTGCACATCTCTATATTATTCAGCCACTCCACTTCTTGAGAGGTGCTTACATGGAAAATGCTCTAACCGGCAACTGTATCTATATAAATAAAAATGTAATGATCGTTTGTGATACCATTAGAACTCAAAAACCACTGGGGGAATTGACACCAAATTTGGACACAAGACACCTAACAACCCATTGTATGTCCTCCACTCAAAAAATTGATTTTGTCATTTGGGAATGGTCATTGCAGGGATTTATAGTTTACCTACAATCAAAGAGCATTCTGAACTCCACCAATGATGGAATTGGGCCAAATTTAGTACACAGGGCTCCCATGACCAACAGAAAAACTAGAAGGGTTTGGGGGACATTGACCTTGAGTTTGGGAATTGTAGTTCACCCACATCCAGAGAGCACTGTGGACTCAAACAATGATGGATCTGAACCAAACTTGACACAAATATCCCATATGCCCAAACATGAACACAGATGGAGTTTGGAGGAAATAGACCTAGACATTTGGGATTTGTAGTTACTGGGATTTATAGTTCACTACAATTAAAGAGCATTCTGAAACACACAAATGACAGAAATGGGGCAAACTTCCCACACAGAAGCCCCATGACCAACAGAAAAAAGGGTTTGGTGGGCATTGACCTTGAGTTTGGGAATTGTAGTTCACCTCCATACCCAGAGAGCACTGTGGACTCAAACAATGATGGATCTGGACCAAACTTGACACAAATATTCCATATGCCGAAATATGAACACAGATGGAGTTTGGGGGAAATAGACCTTGACATTTGGGATTTGTAGTTACTGGGATTTATAGTTCACTACAATTAAAGAGCATTCTGAACCCACAAACGACAGAAATGGGGCAAACTTCCCACACAGAACCCCCATGACCAACAGAAAATACTTAAGGCCATCCAGTCCAACTCCCTTCACCAGGGCAAGAAAATGTAATCAGAGCCCTCCTGACAAAGAGCCATCCAGTCATAAATATAGATAGATAGGATTCTCTCTCACACACACAGATATAGTATCATAGATTTGAAAGAAACCCTTAAAGAAGGACTATGATATGTGGCATATTCCAGAGTAGGCAAACCAGACACTCTCCACATCAACACTGACAAAGAAACAACAAGAAATACTGTTTACTCACAAGCATAAAGGAATTACATATATTAGAAACCAACACTTTCTCATTGCTTTATTTTCCAGATCACCACACTGGGCCACAGCAACGTGTGGCAGGGGACAGCTAGTTATGTATAAATTCCTAGCAAGTGTTGTGGAAAGGGACTCTAATTCAATGATAGAACACATGCTGAAGTTACCAACCTCAATCCTTGAGATTTCCATGCATGGCTGATAAAGACAGAAAATGATGAGAACTTCGGCTAATTCTGAACTATATGGGAAAATAATAAAACAGTTTTCTATGTTCCTATAGGGACAGGAGATGGTTCATGGATGGTATTGGGAAAGATCCTCATAGAATCATAGAATCAAAGAGTTGGAAGAGACCTCATGGGCCATCCAGTCCAACCCCCTGCCAAGAAGCAGGAATATTGCATTCAAATCACCCCTGACAGATGGCCATCCAGCCTCTGTTTAAAAAACTTCCAAAGAAGGAGCCTCCACCACACTCCGGGGCAGAGAGTTCCACTGCTGAACGGCTCTCACAGTCAGGAAGTTCTTCCTCATGTTCAGATGGAATCTCCTTTCTTGTAGTTTGAAGCCATTGTTTCATGTCCTAGTCTCCAGGGAAGCAGAAAACAAGCTTGCTCCCTCCTCCCTGTGGCTTCCTCTCACATATTTATACATGGCTATCATATCTCCTCTCAGCCTTCTCTTCTTCAGGCTAAACATGCCCAGCTCCTTAAGCTGATCCTCATAGGGCTTGTTCTCCAGACCCCTGATCATTTTAGTCGCCCTCCTCTGCACACATTCCAGCTTGTCAATATCTCTCTTGAATTGTGGTGTTCAGAAGCCATTAGCTTCCAACATAACTTATTTCATTGTGAAGCTTAAAAGCTCCTCAAGGAGAAAGTTTGCAAGTTACAGGTAATGAAAGCGGAGAGGGCACAAATAAATAAATATTGCAACATCAACAACAATAATACCATAAGCACGCTACTAAATATTTAGTACTTCTGTGGCAATGCAGAATCATTAAGAGTGAGACAGAGTACAATGCGACTGCTCTTCTGCTTGTGAATTCAAACTTTACTAGGTAGAAAGCAGCAACCCTCCAAATGGGAGCATAATTATGCATTATATTAAGTTGGAGCTCTTATTCAGAATTGTAATGTGTTGGGGCAAAGCATATTTTTCAAACAAGACGTCAGGAAATGACTGTAAGTGAATGAATGTTATTGCAATAAACAAATATTAGGAAGCAATAATAAATCTAGAGACCCACCATGGTATAGCAATTTAAGCATTGGACTATGACTCTGATCAGGATTTGAATCCCTGCTAGGCCATGAATACACAATGGGTGCTTTGAGGCAAATCACATAGTCTGTTAGCCTCAGGAGGAGGCAATGACAAACCCCCGCTGAACAAATTTGATGTCGGACACAACTTGAAGAGACAAAACAAAAGTGACAATAAATCTGACATGATCTACACACAGACACACAGACATACACGAGGGATGAATGAAAAGTAATGCCCCCAGCAGGCCCGTAGCCAGGATTTTGTTTGGGGGGGGGTTGAGTTTGGTTCGAGGGGGGGGGGCTGAGTTTGAGTGAAAGAGGGTCTACCCTAGCAAACCTTTTGTATCGTTACCCCAATACCCCCATGCGTATGGGATATATTGAGCATGGTGATCAGATCATGATATGAATAAACGTAACAGTTTAAATAATATACCAGGAAGGCCTTCTCATGGACCACCATGGGGCCCCCCTAGCTACATGCCTGGCCCCCACCTTCGTTACTTGAGTTTAGATGGGAACATTTTAATAAATCAAACGTAGAAATAATCCTTAGAATGTGCTCTTTAACTAACGCTATTCACTTTTCCACATAATCACCAGACAATTGGATACATTTCTGCCAATGATGAACAAGTTTCCTGAAGCCTTCACGGAAGAAGTCGACACTCTGTTTTGGCACCCCATTGTGCACAGATCTTCGGAAAGCCAAGCAAAGTAATAATGTGACCCACACATTCTTGTGAAATGCTGATTATGCTTGAAATTTCTCTCTGAGTGATACCAAAAAGTATCTGAGTGATACTTGAATCAACCTATCAACCTTTTGCTTGTGAAACTTGGTAGTTACTGTCATAGGACGTCCAACTCTTTGTTTGTCATGCAAGTCAGATGTTCCCACCTCAACATCTTTAAACTTACTCGCCCAACGACGCACAGTACTCACATCAACACAATCACCACAAACAGCTTGCATTCTCTGATGAATTTCCTTTGGGGTGGCACCTTCTGCTGTCAAGAATTCAATGACTGCACATTGCTTAAGTCGCATTGACCGACCGTCTGCGCAGGGTTTCATACTTTGCACTTTAACAACACAACCGTTCAATGCTAAGGCTTCCCATCAAAATGGAACTGTAGAGGAGAGTCTACTGAACAAGTCAGTACCTGCCACATACCAGTACTGCCATCTGTTGAGAAGCTGCGAAGGTGGAGGCATTACTTTTAATTTAACCCTCGTATTTATATATACAGACCAAAGAAATAAATAACAATAGGTATGAAAGACTGTAACAGGAGAAAGATTGACCATAGATCTTAGGAGGTGTTCATCAGAATAAGGGCCAGATGTGTTTAGATTTTGTTTTCTTTCTCAGTGTCTAATATTAGAGTTCTTATAATGTTGCAATCCTCCCCATCAGAGTAAACCTGAATTCTTAATTAAAAACAATTGTTTAATTGCACTTAAAATACCTGCAACTACAAAATTAATTACAATAAAGTACTTATCAGTATAAAATTTTCCCACAGAGTAAATCTAGCCTCTTGCCTTTATTATTCACAATTTATCAAAGTTCAAAGGCTCTGTTTTTTTCATGAGCCTTCTACCCTGTCATCAGTTCTTTCAGTTACACATTCATGCCAACAGTCCTTCACACCTACTGCTACTGATCTGCTTCAACTATGCATTTTAAATATATGGATTATCTGGTTACCCACCCAATCTGTTTGAGGAACTTGAGGATTTTTTTGTCAATTGCCTACTGGCAGATACTGTTTGGACATCCATCTCATTATTCTCTGGTTGTTTGGGCTCCCAACTTGTGAGCAATGATATACCCAAAACAGACAGAGTTAACATCAACACTCCACTGAAGCACGCTTAAGTGTTGGATCTCAGGTTATTTAATATTGGAGAACCAGCTGTGCCCTGCCACGCGTTGCTGTGGCCTATAGTAAGAATTTTCGAAGTAGAGGTAGATATTTGGACTATTATGAAAGAGAAGTACCTATCTATTCCTCCCTTTTTCTTTCCCTTCCCCTTTCTCTCCTTTCTTCCTTCTCTACCTCTTTCTTTCATTCCTTCTTTCGCTCTTTGGTTTCATCCTTCCTTCTCTCTTTCCTTCCTTTCCTCCCCCTTTCTCTACTTCTTCCTTTGTCTCCTTTCTTCCCTCTCTGTTTCCTTCTTTCACTTTTTATTTCCTTTTCTCCTTCCTTCCTTCTTTACCTCTTTCCTGCATTTCCTTTGGTACTTTTTTCTTTCCTTCCTTCTCTCCTTCCTCCTTCCTTTGGTAACCTCTTTCTTTCCTTCCTTTCTCCTTCCTTCCCTCTTCCCTTCCCTCCCTCATTCTCTCTTTCCTTCCTTCCCCCTTTCCCTCCTTCATTCCTTCCCTTTTCCCCTCCCTCCTTTTCTCTCTCCTTCCTTCCTGTCTGTTCTCCCCCAATACCATG